AATTCTAATTTGATGCAACAAATGGATTCACAGGAAGAAACATTTGCATAAAGACAGATTAATGTATAATTTTTTAACACATTAACTATTTAATAAGTTCTTCAAAGCAAGAAAGTATTTGAGGGAAATGAACAGTCACACAACCATCTACTGTATTTCATCTTAATTGCTCTCTGAAGTTCTAAGAGTCAGGCTCCTCAGCCCCTGAAAGCAACACAACTTCAATTTAACTGCTGTATCAGAAACAATACATATACAGGATCAGGCTAATGATTCCACTAAAAGCTCTTAAAATCCAGTGAAACAGGTGATGGATTTTAGGAAAAGCACTTAGATTTGCTGCTATGAAAGTTTTTTTTTTAAAGAGAAAAGTATTCAACTCACTTCCTCAGTAGCGAAAATTAAGACAGGTTGTTCACCATCCGTAAAGGCTTCACTCCACCTAAAAACCAAGAAAACTGTATGAATGTCTTCTAAATTTTTGGATTATACCTAAACTCAGATCACTGTTCCATAGGCAGCCTCTTATTTTTAGGATATGTATTAACATTTCAAAAACATTTTTTAAAAAAAAGCCCAACTCCAAGATCTTGGTCTTCAGATTTTCCCCAACCCCCTCAAAAAAGTGAACAACTTACATCATCATCAATTCATCTGACCAAGAGGCAAGCTTCATAAAGTTGTATCACTTACTTGATGACTCCGTCTGAGATAATGTTTTCAATTTCTTGTTGTGGGGCTTCCAAAAGGACATCTAAAGTTCGAACACCACCTCCTTTGAATAGTACCACGGGCCCTCCATTGGACAGCGAATGTATTCTGTACACATCAGCTGAAAGCTAGACAGAAAAATTTCAGTGTTCTCCAGTACATTACCTTGAAAGCCAAGTGTTTTACACGTAATGAGTAACAGAAGAATGACAAACCTGTAAGATTCCTAATAATGCAGGCCTAGCAGGGGCCAGTTTTCTGAAATACTATGAATATCTCAAATCACTACCCAACGAAAAGACAGGAAAGCGTCCCAAGCACATCTCTGAATCACATCAGACGAAACATAACTGAGGATAAGGAGTTCCAACAACCATTACACAGCACAGCACAGCACAGCGCCTTGCTTAACACATCCACCAGCAGAACAGAAAAATCTATAACTGAACATAATTCACCATCTTAAAAAAAAGTACTCTGAAACTGTGGACTTGGGATACAAAGCATTTTAAGAGTAATACATTGATGATCAAATCTCTCAGTCCAAGTGGATTCCTTACCATATTCCAGAAGGACAAGTTAAGACAATGGCTAGCTAAAATATAGTGTTACCAGTACTACGAAAATCACCATCTCTCCCCTCCCCGAGGATTCAAAATGTTAACATAAAAGTGAACATATGTAAAAGACTTACCGTTGCTTTAAAAACTTTGTCCAAGTTAATGTCTGTGTTCTTCCATATTCTTAAAACCTTTAAGAGAAGCACCATTTTTTAAGCACAGTAAAACAGTAATATATAGTCTTCTCAGCGGACAAAATACAAGCATGTCCCTGAAACACAGGAAGAAAATATCCAGTAGATACTCCCAGCAACCTTAGTGGAGGCTGACTCAGGGGAAGTTTGCATAGGAAGAAGCTGAAGCAGAGACAACAGGAAAACAAACCAAGCTCAGAAATCTTGAATTGGAAAAAAAGGATAGGAAAGAGTAAGGTTAAGGAAAAAGACACAGCAGAAATCTAAATGAATTCTGATAAGTATTCTTTTTTTCCTTTAAGAAAATATAAAGGATCTCACCTTGTCATCATGAACAGCTATATATTCGTGAGTTTCAAAGTTGCATACAACAGGACATGTGATAATCTGCCCATGTTTAACTGACCAACAGCCTAGCGGCTTCTGATCTGAAACCTAGAAGAGTCAGGACAAAGGCATTGTAATTAAAATATTACTTTAATATAAAAAAATTCAGAGTAACATGAAAAAATTCTACACTAATTAGAATTATTCATTTTCACATGACAAATAACTTTGACCTGTAACAGTTCCATGGGCTTATGCCACAAAGCACAGGTACAATGCATGGCCTTTCCAAAATGAAGACACCGCTTTTAATCACTAGTGTAAGTTACTTTTACTCACTAATACAATCATGCACAGAACACGCCTTTTCTATCCTATTTCAGTGTAAGGTGCTGAGACCAATAAATTCTGCTGTCTAAACTCACATTAGTTGCTATTCACGCCTGGCTGCTCTGAGGGTACTCAAGCCCTCTCCTCAGCCTAGAGCTACACTGGGTGCATTTACCTACAACGTAATGTTCTCCTGTACAGCCTTCTCAGTGAGACTAAACAACCCAAAAAAAGTTGTATCATGAACGCTCTAAGAAACAACCCCTAGCCCCATGAATATGAAAGCCAATTCAAGATATAATATATGCATACATTAAAAGATAATGGAATCATAGAATAGTTCCAGTTGGAAGGGACTTTAAAGACCATCTAGCTCTCACCCCCCCTGCCCTGGGCAGGGACACCTCCCACCACACCAGGTTGCTCCAAGCCCTGTCCAGCCTGGCCTTGAGCCCCTCCAGGGATGGGGCAGCCACAGCTTCTCTGGGCAACCGCGGCCAGGCTCTCACAACCCTCCCAGCAAAGAACTTCTTCCTGAGATCTCATCTCAATCTCCCCTTTTTCAGTGTCAAACCCTTCCCCCTCGTCCTCTAACTCCCCTCCCTGATCAAGAGTACCCCCCAGCTTTCCTTGGAGCCCCTTCAGGGACTGGAAGTGACTCAAAGGTCTCCCCGAAGCCTTCTCTTCTCTTCTCCAGTCTCCCCACAACACAGTAAGAGAAAAGACACCAAAACATACTTTTCGTTTCAAGTGCTACAAACTAAAATTTTTCACCCTCAGCCAACAGGATGGCAGCTGGCACAAAACCGACAGCCGGACAAAACACGTGTCACCCTGGCTACTGTAAGGAAACGTCACCTACCCTGTAGCTTAGGGATGGGAGTATTGCTTGGAACAGGGTCTGGAGAGAGAACAGCAGCGACAGCAGAAATAAGCAAGCAGCCGCCCGGGCCGCCCCTGCTCCGCCGGTGAGCCGGGCAGGGCAGGACCCCTGTCCCGAAGCCCCCGCCTCCAGCCAGAGAGAGGCGCCTCGCGGGGCGGTGCGGGGGGGTGCCCGGCGTTGGCCGGGCCGGGGCAGGAGGGAGAGCGACCCCGAGGCCCCGCCCGGGGACCCTCCCACAGGCCGGAACCCGGCCGGCGACAGCAGCGACGCCTCCCGAGGCCGAGCGGCCAGTGCCGGGTCAGACGTTACCTTGAAGAGCGTGGCCGTCCTGCCGCGGTCAGTGAGCAGGACGTGATCGGGCTCGGGGCCCGGCTCCAGCGCCAGAAGGCCGCCGCCGAGTACGACGCCGCCGCTGGGGCCCAAACCGCACAGCGTGAAGCTCTCGCACAGCGCCGCCATCTTGGCCGGTCCCCACCTCTCGCGAGACTTGGCACGGCGCGTGACCGGGTGGGCGGAGGGGGACAGCGCGCATGCGCCGCTGCCCGCGGCGAGGGGGCGGCGGAAAGGGCCGAGGGCGCTCGGCGGTTTCCGGGCGCGTTGTGAGTGTCGGGGGCCGCCCGGAGCCTTGTCGCGGCTGCCTTTGCTAGCAAAGGACATAAAAATACGACACCTTCTGGATATTTTGAATACTATAAAATCAAAGAAGAGCCATTAATGTTTCAGAAGCCGGTTCCAAACCGGGACAATCAGCAGCGTCTCGTTCGTACGGCTGTGCCCGGTATATTCTGTGCCTGGCCCGAAGGTTTCATCCGGCCCAAGAGGTGTCATTTATATGCAGATTAGCACGAGGATATTAGATAAAAGGCTTCTGCTGTTTTGCATCAACACAATAAAACATTGGTGGTTTTAAGAGTGCTTTAATTAAGTGTATTTCTGCTTTATGTCTCACTTTTATAAAGAACAAAGGGAGGATTTTTTTTCCCTCTGTAAGAGCACAAACCAACTCCACCAGTTTTAATAGTGGTGGGGTAACGGCCAGGTTTTTAACCAATTTGTAATGTATTTGCATGCTTTGGTATTTTGTTTGTGTGCAAATTTTAATGAAGCCCTAGCAATAGAAGCCCAGACTGTAAAAACCATCAAGTCAAACCAAACGAAGCAGTTGCAGCCCGATCATGAGACGTGACGCTGTGCCAGCTGTTGGCCACTGTTGGGTAACACGTGTGGCCAGCACCATCCTTTTGGGGTCTTGCCACTGGCGTATCTGCTTGCTGGAGATTTAATTTCACCTCGTAGAGGACAGTCATGACCTCACCCGGGTGGCAAAGTCCGGGCCAGAGCCCTGCTCTCTGTAGGGCACAGCCCCGCACTTTCCCCAGAGCCCAGGCCATGTGGAGCTGCCTGGTTTCTGGTGGTTTCCACAGTGTGATTTCTACCTTTAATGTTTTCTAGGCCTATGTTTGTTCATTGTGAAGCTGTTGAGAAGCACTTCTATACCAAATAAGCAACCCACCATTTTTCTGGTGCAGAGAAAGCTTTATTTCAGTGGAGTAAGCCTCTCCTTAAAAGCTTAAAGAAGCATTGTACGTGTGAAATTCCTGTAAACTACATGAAATGCCTGGTAGAGAGTGATGGAGGATTCTTACCTTCTGAGAGGTTTGCAGTGGTCTGTTTTCCAATATTTACTACAACACCAGGCTGCCAAACCCTGCACAGAGAATTGGATTCCCCACTGAAAAACTTCCTTGACAACCAAATGGTCATTTACAAGCGAATGGGCCAACACCAGACGGATGGGCACCTGCCTTGATAAAATCTTTTAAAAGCTGAGGCACAACAAAACCAAGCATACCTTGTAAGTGGTTTAAATTTTCCTTACAGAGCCAATTCTCTGTGCTTTTTAATTGTGAGGAAGTGACTTGCAGAGCTGGGGGTAGAATTGTTAATGGATTCATTCCTTGCTAGAGGAGATCTAGTGAAAGAAAATAGCAACAATTGTAAAGAATAATTGTTGGTAGTTTATTTACAACAAAATGCAAGGAAAAATACAATATTAAAAATAATAAATTACTTGGTAAAATCAGAAACTAAGTGATATGAATGAGAAATACAATCATATTCTCCTGCTGAGCCTTGCATTATTTAACATGCAGAGCATTTCAAAACTTGGTCCTGCTTTGATGGTAGTGATGCCTAATCACTAGGTATTGCCTAATGTAGCCATCATTGCTCTAAATAAAAGAAATTTATTACTGGACATTCAGAGTCCGGTCGAATTATCACAGAAATGAAATAAAACAATGAAACCTGTTTTAGTGACACCTCAAAACTACAGGAGATTGTAATTCAAGGACCATGCTGTTCATTTAAAGCAAAACATTGTTAGACTTACTTAGCAATTTTAACTTACACGTGTAAAACCAAGTCCAAACAATGGAAACAGAAAAGCTCCTATTGACAAGATCATGAATTCTCTCTTACTGCACACTAATTCATAAAAAGCATATACATTTGGCTTATTTCAAATGATAGCACATTGTTTTGAAGTCATAGTGCAGCAAGCTTCAAAGCAGTTTTAACGAAATATAGTCATCTTGTTACAAAGTAAAATTCAAGGAACAAATATTTCCATTTCAAAATCTCTACAGCAGCAATGGAAGCAAATTGGCTACTAGATGTCACAAAATCACCTTCCAGAATAATCAAAAAAAAGCCAAAGAATAAGGTCAAATAGTTTCTTTCTATAGGATTTATCCAGTCATTTACAAAATTACCCATTACATTCATAAGAAATCCTATTAAGTATGTGTTTGAGGAATGTGCTGCTCCTCAGAGTCTTTATGGATACCTCCCTTTTTTAGTTTATTAGGAGATCTACCCTTCTAAAGACTGCAGTGAATTGCCAGTTATTTCGTAATGATTGTTCTATATGAAATACATAAAAGTATGAGCAAAGCTGGAAGAAGGTTTTCACAGAAACCCAAACAAACAAATCACATTATTTGCTCTGAACTGTATTCTCCTTGATGGACAATCCCATGCCGAGTCCTAGTGGAGCTGTGTCATGTAATTCTCCAGTCACTGTGGCAGAGAATAGGAATGCGGCTACTGTCCCTATTCAGCTTTGCTGCCTGGCACTATACTTGAAAGATGTACTTGCTAAATAATTACATCATTTATTTTTGCAAAAGAAGCAATGAACACCTGCAAAATGCTCTCTATTTTTCTCCTAATAAACATGTTTGAAAATACAACAGAAAGCACTGTGAAAAAATCAGTAATGAAAACAACACCTTTGCCTCAAGATGTTATACTGAAGTATTTGGACCTTCCTTTTCATTTAATTTTGTGTGGTTTTGTGAGTTTGCTGGGAATATTCTAGAAAAAAGTTACCCTACCTTAAAAAAAGAAACAAACAAACCCCAACCAAACAGAAAAAGATATTTAAAGATCACATTGACCAAGTGGATAAGGACTGGTGGCGAAGGCAGAACAGAGCACAGCAGAGGGTGCTTGAATTGTCAATGGAAAGCCTGGGGTGTTCAATGCAATGAAACATTACAGATCTTGTAATGTGCATTCATTAGGAATCAGCACGGAAGCAATGGGACTCATCATGAGCCTTGCTGTGGCCAATGGTGAATCCAGGCTGTTGGGTCAGTAAATCTGGAAATCCTCAGGAAAAGCACTGCCTGGTGGAAGGGCTACGGCAGCAGCAGCCTTCAGCAGTCAGGCATTTTTTCCATGACATGATCAGTGCCTTTCTCCTACATCTCTGTCATGCAGCTATTAAGGTGTGTCCTGTTCAGGTATGTTAATAGTTTTCATACCTGCTTCATCCCCAAACCTACTTAATATGATAATCAGAGTATCCACATGGAACTGGAAATCAATCAGTTAAATGTGAGTAACAGTATGACTGCTTTGGTCTAATAATCTGTGTCAAACCCAGATGCCCAAACGTATATAGAAACGGTAATATGTAAGCACAAGGGCATTATTACTAGAGCTGAGCAAAATTTTTTTGACAAAGAAAAAAAGTAATTGAAAAACAGATTTTCAGGAAGAGCAGATCTAAACCATTTCTATATATGTTAAATTCAGGAAATGAAAAAATCAGCCCAACAATGCTTTCTGATTTCAAAGATTTGCCTTCTCTGCCAATATTCCAATCTTGCTATCAAATAAATACTAATAAAAATATTAGACCAGTTATAATCATGAATACTTATCCTGCACACTTTTTAAGCTGAAACCATAAACTGTTAGAAAGTTTTGTTTGCCATCACTACAGTAGCTTCTTTTTAAACAAAAAAAATCATCACCCATTAGTTTACGAATCACACAGAACTACTAGCTCTGAGAAGAGAAGCAAAACATGGACAGTAAGTTGGAGAACACATGAAGTCAGACCACAGCGAACCTACAAAGAGCTCCCAGATTTTGCTAGCTACGGGATTTTAACTACCAAACAAATATACACTTGGTTTCAGTGCAGGTTGGCAGCAGAATTACCTCTCCTGCTACTAAAACTACACTATAAATATCACACATTCAACGTAACTTCTACTGGATCTACCGCTGTTGAGAAGTTCAGTGCAGTTAAGCCAGTCCAATCACAGCATTGTGCTGAGAAGATGGCACAAAACTCCTGTCCAGGTAAAGGGCCATCCCCAAACTGATTGTTCTGTGATAGTTCAGCTCTAGAGGACTCTCTGGTTCTTTATCCATGTACCATGTCACTGGTGGTACAAAATACCACCCACTTTGATCACAGGATTCAGGTAATCACTATCATTCCCTGGGGATTGAACAGCATCCTGTTAATGTCTACTACAGCTGCCACAGAGAGAGATACTGCCAGCTTTCATTACACAGCTGTTTGTATGAAGAGAACAAACCCCCCAAATGGGGATCAGTGGGAAAAGTTTCTCACTGAGCTTGCATTTTGAAAAGGAAGGAAGGAAGAGACCACTTTTGCCATTTATTTTTTTCCTCCTTCCACAATCTACACTTCCCTCCCGGGAAACATCCTTTTCTCCATGTTAATTCCTGAGATTGAAAAGTGATTTCACACGCAGACCAGGAAGAGCACTTCCATTTCCTTAATGTTACCCGACACGGGACTGAGCAGCCCCACAATTCATTTGCTTTTTCAAGTGACTGATTTTGTTCACCCCTTCCCTAGAGACAATGGTAAAGTCTGGAACCAGCTTTCTACTAATAAGAGATTGTGCTGTTTAGGAAAGATGTGAGGCAGGAAAGAAAAAGGAGACTTGTCTTTTCTTTCCTTTACATTCAAGGCCTTACAGCGTAACTACCACTCTTCTTCCAGTAAGGAAAAGACAGAATTCATTGGTTTTGCTTCTCAATTGGCTCAATTTAGCTGCTTTTTTTCAGTCTTACATATGGAACACCATTGATGAACACCGATACGGACTCAAGAGGTCACAAAAGGACAGGGGACAGCTATTAAAATACACTATCTACAAGAAATAGGTGGTTTCTTTTACAAATTCTGTGCAAGATAGAAATAGTCCAATGGCCTCAAAGTCAGTATAATTAATTACAATTGGGGCTTCAATACAGTGATATTTTCGGCTTGAAAAGTTTTATGTTTGTTAGGTAGGCCCCAAATCCTGAGTCATATTAAGCAAAATGTGAATCTGAGTGATTGCTGTTGGTGTTCAAGTACAATGAGTTACAGGTCAAAGGTTTACAAATACACAGGAGAAGCCTGAGAGTAGGAAGGATTTTAAAATCAGCTATAAAAGAAGAAAATGGGAGGGTTTTTTTCCTGTTAACCGTGCATTCTAGTTGGCACTGATTTGCCTTAGAAGTCCTTGGCAGCTTTACTAAATACCTCCTCCTAATTATAAATCCTATCACCTAGATGAGGATTTGCAGGTAAATACTGCTACAGAAAGATTTATTTTCTTTTATAGGATTCCCCTCAGACTATTTCATTCTATATCAGTAAGATACACCGTATGGCTTGAAACACTACTTGAGGAATATATAAACTACGTTCTCTTGCATGCACTTCTCTGAAGGTTTTAAGGATCAAGTCAGGAAAGAAGTAACCTTTCCACATCAGTAAGATTATTCTAAGCAAAAAAAAAACAAAACAAAAAACCACCATAACCTTTGTAGAAATTCAGTTACATCACTCTTGCTGTGGTAGACATGGCTTATCAGGAGAAAACATGCTGGGTTAATTTAAAGGTTTTTTTTCGCTGGATCTGGAAGAGTGAGAGTTTCTGGAGCAGATTTTTTCCGAGGCCGGTCTTTGGGAACTGTTAGGAATTCAGGAGCATCTGTGGAGAGAGGAGTTGATGGGGCACTAGATGGAGCACTGCGGGTGGAAGAAGGCATGGAAATGTTAGAGATAGATATTGCAGGTGGGAAAATCCCAATCTTCTTGTTGGTAGCTTCCTGAGTGGCTCGTTCAAACTCTCGGACTTCATCCATTGTCATGTCTTCAACAAGAAGGAAAGAAAGATAAAGGCACGTTAGAATAATTTCAAATTATCATTTCATTTACTCAGTTAACTTACTTCCATCCAGTTTCTAGATCAAGGAATGATTGCTTATCATGCATATCATTAAGTGATTCTCCACATGAGTGCCTTCCTATTCTAATGCGTTGACTGGAGTACAATAAGCAGCGAATGTAAAGAAAGAGAAGTTAAGTGCTGGTTCCTTTTCTACCTGGGCCTGAACTGAATAAAGAGTGCTGCCTCTGTAATTGCAGGAAAAATCAAGCTATTTCACAGGCAGTTAAAGAATACATTTAGATACACAGTCAGCAAGTAGAACTTTTCAGAACTGCAAGCAAAACTGATAGATTGGGGGGTTTTTTGCATGTAGATCATGAGCATCAATGGGTAAAGGGTTGTAACTGGTTTGTTCATCTACTTTAATTATAAAGGGATGAAATATTCTCTCTCCCCTCAAGCACAGCTTCTGTTGACTTCTGGTTGCAGCTGCATCCACGTAACTGAGGCCGTTTTGCTTTTCTACTTATAAAGCCTAAAGGCTTCCCTCTCACTTGGTGAAGCCACACCACATTTTCCGACTTTTCTGTCCAGCATCTGTACTTAAATATTTATGGCCAACTGACAAATCCGCTGCTTAATTCCCTGCAAAATCGAGGCAAAATGAGAGCAGAGGTCAAAACCACTTTGCAATGGAAAATCGGCTCCACAGAAATCTTTAAAAGCAGTGAGAGCCCCCTCCTGCAGGTGACACACGTGTCCCAGCGCTGTGGAAACCCACAAGAGGGCAGAGCGGTCCCACGATAGATGTGGTCCGAGATAAGCCCTGCAAAACTCTTCTGATAAGATCCCAACGAAATGACATCTGCTACAAATGGGTAAATTGAGCAAAAAAATCAGCAAGACTCCTGTGAAACCTCCTGCTTGGTGTCTACTACACACCTGCAAGATGTCTGCTGGGGCAACTGAAATGAATGTCACATTTTTCACTGAACTTCATGTTAAATTTCTAAATTTGAAGTATTTCATTAAACCATTTATAGATTTGTTGAGCTCTGAAAGCTCAAAAAAACCCAGAAATAAAACCACTAGCATTTTAATCAATTTGAAATTCTCACGTGTGGGTGCCTGAGACAGGGCACTGGCAATGGTGCTCACCATCTGCATTAAAAAGTCCTGTACGTTCAGTACCTCCATACTTTGTAATATTCCCCAGCTGCATGCATCTGTAGCCTTGGCTGCAAATGTTATGTAGAAGAAGCTTTATGTTATATTACAACATCATATTGACTAAACAGAAGCGTGCCTGTTGCCAGCTGCCTTCTCTCTTCCCTGCAGATGACATTCCGGGGACCTTTTCAGCCTGTGTTGCCAGTTATTAGGAGTGAGGATGAAGCTATTTTCATGTCTGAGATAAGTGGTGGAAATAAACAGATGGTCTCAGAGGAACTGTACCTACTTGTCTTGGAGACAGATTTGAATCTGTTTTGCTGATTTACATTTTGTTTCACACCCTGTAACAGAGTGTGTTGTGTTTCTGAACTCAAAGGGTTTAAAAGCACCCTGACATCAAAGGGAGCCCATGCATTCATTTCAGCTATTTTGGATTAAGGACTTCTGTAAAATGTGAAAGAAAAGCTGTCTTGGATAAAAGAAAGGGAAAGAGGACAGGAAGATTTCTCAGTTTACTGGCCATTGAAGTGAAGCCTGATTAAAGTCTTGCTAAGTAGCAGCCTCCAGGACCCTTCATTTTAAATTCAGATATGAAATACTTATTGTCCCTTCAGCTGACTTTTGCTATTTAGTGTATACTTGTTTTAAATTCCTGTCTGTTCTGACACACACTCGAGTAAAACAAGTCCTTACCCTGAGCTAAGAAGGCTCAGATTTGATTATTTTTTTTTTGTTAATGGCAAATTCTGTTCTGACCTCAATGGAAATTTTCCCACATGGGAACCAAGTATGGGAGACTTCATTCAAAGCCAAATCCTGGATGCTGAGCCACATTCATAACTGACTCTCAGTTTACAGCTCAGTAACCTGGATGTCAATGGAGCTGCTACGCTACAGACACCAGAATCACCTTCCTTAGATAACATCTGCTCAGGCTGGGGACAATTTTTACTGAGTAAGAGCACAGGAAAGACTTCAGGCCCTTCAGGCCTTGCCCCACACTCATTACATGAGTAGAACCATCACTACAGCACAGTTAGCAGAAATAAAGGAATAATAACATTTCAAAAATAAGTATTACTGCATCTCTTCTATTTGCAGATAGTAATAATTTATAATTTTAGGCCTCTACCTGAGGTGCCCATATTAGGAATTTAAATACTTTATCAAATTTCCAGAATCTGAATCAAAGAACCTACACAGAAACTTGCCCTTCTCCACAAACTGCTGTTATGTACTAAGAAAATACTTCTCACCTTGTTGGTAGCTAATCAATGAGAACATTAAAATTATTTTGAAAACAATGAATATTTCATTAGCTTTTTTTTTTTTTTTCCTGGTGAAGCAAACAATTTTATCAGTCCCATAGAAATTTTCCACTCCCCGTGTTCCTGGCTTTTTGACTGAAGCACTCTGAACTCCTGCAGAATTTAACTACTCAAATAATAGAAAGAAAAAGTCCTATTTAACTTCCTCTTTATGCATCCAACTGAAATTTGAGAGTTGTGTTTTCCTGGAAGACAGGGAGTTGTGTATGAGCCCAACCCCACCCTTTCTTAACAGTGGCACTTTCCAGTGCAAAAGAAACGTTGCACTTCATGGAGAAAGCTTCTGCTCCTTCTGAAGCAAAACCTCCCCAGAATTCCACTGGCTGGCCAGCAAGATCAGTTGGTTGTTCTTCTCTGATCTGTGCAGGTGTATTAGCTGAGGATGGGCAATATGTTTTAAAAATTGACATACTCTTGCTTGGGCATGGCTCTCTATCTCATCCACAGTAGATGAATGTTGGTTGCAAACTTTAATGTTGGTTTTTTCATGCATATTTTTCTCGTATTCTCGAACATCATCCATAGTCATATCTGTAAAAAGTTCAAAATTGTTGATATTTTCCATTGATTCAGTGCACACTTTATTATTTTTTTTTCCTTAAAGGAGGAGGTTCTAGTAACACATAGTCTTTCAGCAGAAGCCAAAAAAAGATTTAAGAAAAGCAGGGAGCAACTAACTTTATGTAAATGGACTCATAAAGGTAGTTATATCAGCCAAGGAAGGTGTAAGAAGGCTAAGCCAAAGGGAGTCAGAGAACAGGAAGGAGTGGAAATTGTTCAGGAGTATGTGTGTAACATAAGGTATGCAACAAGTACTGAAGTGCAGGCCTTGGCAAAGGCCAAGATCTTCTAAAAAAGATTTTAGAAGATCCCTTGGAACAAAGGATAGATACAGAAATATTATAGATATCTACTTACCTTTCCAGGCACTGTAAGAAAGATTTTATGTTATCTTTGCATAGTACATCTCATAACCAGCAAACATTCTTACTGTTAGAGCACACATCAGCTTAGATTCCAGAAACTAACACTTAATTATACTGGTAAGTGAATTAAGAGTGAATACTTAAAGAGTTTTGTAGCCTCAAGCAATTTAATGATCTGTGAGAATTAGAAATATTCCACGAATCAGGCTGATCCTACTGGCAGAATCATTTATCATTGTCCAGGCATGCCTGATGTTGTCAAACTAGTGCATAGTCTGTTAGGTGCTTGCTGTGTAACTCCAGGCAATTATTACAGGTTTAAAAAAGATTTGTCATAAACCACACTTCCAGTAAAAACATGAGGAATCCAATTAACTGACTTGTGACCTTACTCTTCTGAGTATTCCCACGCTTTCCATAAATCTACTTGCAAGTAAGGGGGGGGTGACCATAAAGGTTGTCAGAATCTTGGTCTGTTCTTTACAGCCGTTTGATAACTTCAGAGCTTCATGGAAACAGCCATCAACTTTTTACTCACAAAACTGAAATAGAAATTTAGTAGCATGGTACCCTTGGAAAGGTGCATGACTTGGTAATGTACGCTGTGCTTTTGTCCTTGAGGCTATCATTGTTCTCAAGTTAATTATGTGCTACTTGGATCTGCAAATTCTTCTATCACACCATTCCTTGGTATGTGATACGAGGCTCTCACTGCATCTTATGAGGCAGCTTTTAAGGAACGATAGAACTTTATCTGTTATATCAGTAGCACAATGTAATACTTCATCAATGAAAAAAAAATGCAGCCTAAAATTTTGATCAAGAGGAATCATGGAATACCACTAACTCATACTCTTTTAATCTTTTACTGTTATCTGGAATAAAAAAAAAGAAGCTCATAAGCTGTGTCAGTAACATGCTAAGGATGCATTTTGCCAAGCAGAGAACATGCTCTGTATTAGTAAATTACACTGTGAAAACAGATTTTCTTAATATTAAAGCTGAATAAAGTTTAGTAAATTTAATGTCAAGACACATTCATACTTACAGTAATCAATCAGTAATACCCGTAACATAACATGTTGTTTAATAATTTATTTTATTACACTGATTAACTGATGGAGTTTAGCTGACTTGCATCATCTCCAAGTCTTTCTCAAACTTCTGTTCTAAAAGATGCCAACAGACACATGAATGCACACAGATGCTTTAAAAATTCTATTTCTGAAAAGCTCTCCCAACACACATCACCATGTCAAGAGCGGTACCACAGCAGTTTTACACACCATAGGTATTAAGTGGAACTGGAGGTGTACAAATTGGATCTCACCCATTTTGGATAATGAAATATTTGATTTCTAGTCACCAAGACTTACCAGCTGTTACACTTCAGAACAACGCAGCAGTGTAAGGGCCACGGGCAGCACAGAATTACCTAAACTTACTTTCTGCACTTGAGTAAATTTCAGTATTTTTATGATCATTACAGCACAAATTTTTCATGCACTATTAAATTTATAAGAACATTGTGATTTCAAAAGCAATTTTTTTTTTCAAAATCAGCACAATGAGTTTTTTGTTAGATCCCAGTGTAAAATTATGCAGGTTTATGAAGCCACTGGAGATGACTGTGTTTGCACCAGCTGGGCTAATGGACTATTTTTAAGCAACGCAGAATGTTTCTGGGTTTTGATGAAAGGCAGGTGTCATTCTTATCCATGAAATACCCAGAATGGTGTTTTCTGAAGCTTAAGGAGGGTCTAAATAAACATGTTATATATACTCCCAAATTCCTATCCTATGCTACAGGAATGTCTTAGAAACTGTTCTACAAGTACTATGATTATGGATACATCTTACTGAAAAAGCATGTAAAAAGCACAAATGCCGTGAGCTTGTTTTATCAAACATAATTGGCTGTTTGGATATTCAGGATTACTCTGTGCTATGGAAAGGGCCCATTCCTACAGCTGGCTCCTGGATTCTGAGCAGTTTTTGCATGCAGCTGCTGCTGAATCAGACCCAGAAGGTTTTACATGTATATTCATTTTTCGGAAAGGACACTAGAGCTCCATCTTTTCTTTATTGCAATCCATATTAATAGTTTAAAACTTTCCTAAAAAGCTGAAATGGCGTTTGATCAGAGGCCCTAGGAGTCTGCAGTATGGAAATGCCTGCATGTTAATACAGTCTGAATAAGAAGGTTTATTCAAACCTGCATGCGGTTCTCCATATAGATGACTCTTGGCAGGGGCAGCTTCTCTCTGCCCACAAAGTGGGGTGTGGGGACGGTTGCGCGTACTCTGGGATGTATGGGATGTAAAGGCATCCCGTATGCTGCCTACTGGTGCCTAAAATACAGCCTGCTCCTGTCACAAATAACCTGCTGAAATCGAGCTCTGTATGTTCCAGAGCAACTGAACATGGTGCCATCTTTTCATGAGCAATTTATACTAGGACCTGACAGTCCACGAAAGCAAATAGAAATCTGTTGTTAATTGTCATAAGCTTTGCAGCAGCCCTTTTAAATGGGCTAAATTTGGAGAATACTTACCGTACCACTCATCAACCCAGGCAAAAGCCTGCCGGTGCCCGATCAGTAGTATGTCTCTGACAACCTGTGAAACAAGGAAAAAGTCAAATACCTCTGCAGCAACAAAACATTTTAGAAAAGTAACACTGTTGGCTTTCAACATGATTTAGAGTGAAAAATATTCTGACAGTTTTGTGTCTAAAAGAACATGCCTTAGAGAGTCAGACACACTGGCTCTGAAGGTCTTGTAGTCCAGCCTCCTACCTGAAGTGGATCTGTTGCCAACACTGGATCACATTAGCATGGCTTTGACTAGCAGGGGAAGCCATATGGGAATGTGTACAGAATCCATTAGTCTTTGGGCAATTAGACATTCTGGAACTCTTCCTTTTCTTTGCTAGTTTTTTTAAACATGGGGAAGGTCAATACTCTGAAAAATATGGCTGTTATGCCATTCATTAATTAATTTTTAAGTAGACTGATTGGAAAACTTTCCTACTACCTGTTTGTAAGAAATTCTGCACATCATTGCTCCATGTATGATTCTCATGTATACTCATGAATACCTTAGCTCATACGTTTATCACAGTATTGAAAATGTTACTGGTAGTTTTTCCCAGCCTTAGATCTGAGCAGTTCCAGGTTTTGTCAAGTTTATATCTGGAGATGAACCCTCTGGCTCTGCTCCAGATCTTTCAGACCTTGAGAGAGGTGTGAAAGCAGATGCGGCTGAGCTCCCTCGCTTCTACACAGCCATAACTGCTTTCCTGTGCAGAGTAATACTCAAGTTCTGCTTACGTGAAGGACAAGAAACAGCTCCTCTTTCACTGACCTTGTGTACAAATTGCTCTACTCTGGTTTGAAGTCCCCAGACTTCAAATTTCACAGTCACAAGTTTGTAGGAACACATAATTGGCTGATGGGTCTCTCTCCAACCTTCTTTTAATTGGCCTCTCCCAGTCTTCTGAGATTTGAAGTATTTAGGATCCTGCAAAACAAAGAAAACATACTGAGAAATGCAGGAGAGTAAGTCCCGTTTTGACAGTTTGCTAAAGCAGTGAGACATAAAATATGAAAGCATGCTAATAAAAATTATGAAAAATAATATGAAATTGACTTAAATAAGCACTAGGATATACTAAAATCAAATCCTGTCTTTTATCCAACAGCCAGTGAATTGATGGCAGCATATTCCTGCAGCTGCCTTAACAATCATATCATCTAGGACATTTCTGCTATAGGAAAATATGTTATTGCAAGTTATTATAATACAATGTACTCCAAGTGTTTTTTATGGCCTATGGAAAAAAAAAAGTGTTGCTTCCTCAGAGCTTGATTTTCCACTGCTCCCTCGGTGTAACTTACTTGTACTCTCTATGCATGTCTATCTTCCTGAAATCGTCTCCAATGTGGGCTGTGATACATCAATGCTGATGTGACTCTGACAATGCCATTTTCAATTTTAAGTGAATTTGTATCTCCAGGTCGGCAGCCTACCATGAAACTCCTCCGATTTAGCCATCTCTGGCTACAGCTAAGTTATGGTATCTTTGGGCAAGACACTGAGTGACTAATTTAAACTCAGTCTCCTTTTACTAACTGGAAAAATCAAATAAATTGGGGTTGAAATTACAACAGCAAGATCAAAAAACCAATAAGGACATTAGCTCATTGTTAAGGTGTACTTTTAACCATACAAGATATAGTTTTATCTATCAAAGTGTTATTTTCCATATGAGTATAATTCCATCTCACTTTATGTGCAATCCTGCCGATTACATCTTGTAAATAGAAATAATTCATGGATAAACCTAGATTTTCAAAAATGTAGTCTCAGTAAATTCAAAGTGGAGCTTCTAAAATGTGTCTTCAAGAATAACCACTCATGCTCCTCGGTGCTGCCTTCCCCAAGACCAAGATCTTAGAAGACCTCATAAATCCATCATTTGTTGCAAAAGCAGTTAAATATGTATTTAAGTATGTGCATAAATTATGTGCTAAATGGAAGACAATCAGAAGAAAAACTAACAAATCAAGAAGACAAATCTGATCCTAATTTTCTTTCACTCACAGTGAGCTTATATGCCATGCAGCGTTCCCTTTTTCTAATGTTTAGTTATCTCCTGACTTGGCTTCTGATTTTATCCATAAACCAAAGCTCTGTCATTAAAACTTCTTTACAAAGCTCTAATGAGGTGATAGTCTTCCTCCTCTGTGAAAGTCATTGCTTTTATTGCTGACATACTCTTTTCTAAATAGAAACTTTAAGCTCACAGTATAATAAGGTTTCAATGTTAAATCACCATAAAAAACAATTCTGTGTCATCATATAACAGAGCAATACAGCACCATATATCACAACTCCCAGTCATATGCTGTTGCCAATCTTCTCACTCAATAAAGCTTGACCTCAGACCAATCTAGATAGCTTCTGGTTCAAAGAGTTGTTTTATAACTGATTATTGCCTGAAGCAATCAATATTATAATAATAACAAAAATAAAAAGAAAAAATCAAGAGGGAAGAACTAAGACATGATATTCAGAAAGGCAAAAAAGAAAATTAAAGGCAAATAGTTTAATGTAAGGAAGGGTCTGCTGTTTCTTACACACACTCGTGCTAGTGTGATGAAGCCCTTGTCTTGATTAAGCATCTCAGATATGCACTTTAATAATATTGAGTGTTATGCAGAGCTACTTTATAACCCTTTGGCAATAACCAGACCTATAATGGAAGAACTGCAATGCAGTACCAAGGGATTTAATGTAATGAATTTGAGTCAGTATCAAGTATTCAAAATTTATAAATAAAAATTAAATAATGGGCCTTGCATGAAAGCTCAGTCATACACAAAACTTGTGTCTCTTTCAAACTGCAAGAACCCTCCGGATGCTGTGAAAGCAGGGGTTTGCTTTGGTTTGTTTTGGTTTTGTGAAGTTAACCCAGCAGACAAGGGGATTCACAGTGGAAAGCATTCTTAAATCAGTGGCCCACAAATAATCTGCCTGCTGCAGTGCAACTGATCCGTGACATCACTCCTACCAGCAAATTCCTCTACCAGTGCCCAGAGATGGCACCATCCCTTGGCTTCCCAAAGTCATGTCCATTTTTCTTGAAGGACATGATGCTTAGTCACACATTGGCTGGAGAGTGTCACGCGCAGAGCCAGGCAATGACGGACAGTGCAGGCAACTTGCAGCTAATAGCTTTTATGGAAATTCCTGCCTTTCTGAAAACACTAACATAGTGATACTATACGACTGTAGACTGACGAATGGAAGCCAGGAAACAGGAAGGATTCAGTGGAACTGATTTCCAGACTGCTGGATGAAAGATCAAGATGTTAAAGATTTTACTGAGTGCTTGCTGAGGTGAGCTGAAATGCCAAGATTGTGCATAAGCTGAGCAGTGGGTCATACGACACACACCAACATTAAGCAAAGTAAACTTGAGAGTTTAACCTGCTTTACAGGGGTGAGTTGTTAGCATCAGTAAAACTATCGTCACTGGGCTTTTTATCCAGATGCTAAAAAATTAGGTGTTTAAAAAAGATTTGGACTATTCTAGAAAAATACAAATTCTGGCTCAGCAATTGCTTGTGCTATGGTTCATATGAAGAAGCATTTAGGGGACAAATCTATATATTTATCTCTATATTTTGCATATATTTACACCTTTCCTGGCCCTCTGCCGTTGGCCACAGCCCCAGGGATCATACCACACCAGAAGGACCTTGGTGTGACCAGGACAGCTAATCTTTGTCTCTTCCACAGCCCACTGAAGCCAATGAGAACTTTGACATGAAAGCCATGACCCAGAATGATTTTATGTGTCCAACTCATGACTTCAAATTGCCAGGTTAAGATTCACAGCCTGGAATCAAGTATATAAGGTCCTTCTGAAAAAGAAAAAAAATGAAGAAGGGATGATAATTTTATGTTAAATCCAAGTAGAAATACTATTGGTACACAGCACTGCTGCCCCTCCTGCTTTCCATGCTGTAGATCACTGGTTTGGTTAGTCAGACAGAACAAATTAGACTCATGTCCCAGGCTCACATCTCTCCAGACCCCAGGAGGAAGCCCTGAGCACCTGCTGGTACTGGCTCGTGGCCCTTCTTTACTCTTCCTGTGAAAGGTACTGTGATTAGCAAATCATACACAGGGCACCAGGCTAGAGTGAAGGGCCTGGAGTTCCTCTCTAGGCAGGAACTGTGGCACATGTGGGTTTGAAACACTTTGGTCAGTGACTGGAAATTGGACAAGCTGATCTTTGGTCTGACCCTATTTTTCTGTTATTATTTAGATCATTATTTTTGTGTGTGCCTTATTTTTGCTTTTAGCCAGCAATGCCTTCCTTTCTAGAGAAGGCATCATACACAGAATACTGTATCTATTCACTATTTCCCCCTCAGTTTATCTACTGGCAAAATCCTCAATCTGTTTTAAATGTAATGGCATAGCTAAAATCTTTTTTGTTTAAATAACCTTCTTGTCCTTTTATCAGACACAATTTATTAGGAAGGCCCATCTGGCAAATCCTTTTGCTACAGAGGAGCAAAATCTACTCTGTATTTGCAGTACATTATTGCCAGGTGCAGAGTGACTTAAAAATAGCACTTCTGCTAACATAGCAGAAACAGCATTACCCATGAGCTGGGCTTATTTGAGAATACAGTGTAAAACTACAATAAAATAAAAGCCATAGTGTGACGGATGTGGTTTCAAACTCTCCCAGTGTTTCTTGCTTAGGCCATGTCCTGGCTCAACATGCTTATTGTTGGAGATTCCATTATTTAGCATTTAGCATTTATTTACTTAACATTTCTTATGGCCTGCAGGCATCACGGGCATTAGACGTGGAACTGTAACCCCCTTTCCAGGAGACAAACACCAATGTGTTGACAATATTGCACTGGGTTGTTGCAATGCCTTTTCTGAAATGTTATTTCTTTACTTAAATAATGAAATGCATTCATTGTTTACAGAAAACTTCAGAATCCAAATGGGGATGCTTTCCCTTAGCTTTGCCATGGCATCAGGCATGATCTGAAGATGCCATACTCTTCTGCAGCTGACACCACCTCCTTTGTCCATATGCTGGAAGTCTGCAGGGAACGTCCTGTTGGCCTTGTCACCCATCTCTCTTGAAAATTACTTGCCGGTTGTAGGGCTATTTTAGCATGGGAAAAGATGCCCCAGCCTAATATGTTCTCCAGAGGCCAAAGTGCATCATGTTACCCCACGTATCCTATTCTCTGACTGGATGCTACTCATATGTCCAGAAACAAAGATTCTTCCTTCCTTTCAATGCAGAGATTCATTTTTTTCAGACTCCTATTGCAATATATTCCATCACTGTGCTTTTGAAGTGCAGTCAATTTTTTTTTCCCCTTGAAGGGGGATCTGAAGACCGACTTGTTTGATCTTGAATTTCAGAACCAATCCTTCATGGTTTTAATACATGTGATCTGGCATTTCATCATCGGCTGTAGCTACTAGGTTATGGATTTCAGCTTATGTAGCTAAGGCTCTGCAAAGATTTGTTGATGTAAAGATGCTACTATAGAGAGTTATGTGGAGTCATTTCTTAAAGACTTTTTTTTTCTCTTTTTGAATTTCCATTAAAATATATTTTCTGGAAGAGCCAGCTAAATACTTCAGAATTTTAAATATTGGGACAGTTCTGAGGTGTTAAAATATGATAATCCAGCCAGACTTTACATAAGCTCACAAGTGGAGCTAGTAAGGAAAAGGAAATTTTAATCTGTTTTTGCTGTGCCCTGTACTGACACGTTGCACACATTCACTGTGGTGACCGAGACAGCTAAATTATTTCAGTGACCATAATTTTCTGGCTCTGTAATGTGATAGAGGTTTTGTTATTCTGAGAGCACCTGGACAGTAGTATCTATTACACCTATTACAGTGCAGCTGTGTTCAAGCCAAAAAAGACAGCAATTGAAGCAGAACACTGCGGCAGCTGCATTAAATCTTTCTGTTTGGAGGGAACTTTAAAAGTTTATTCCACTTGTCCAACTCTCAACTGCTTTATCATAAACAGGAAATGAAATACTGTTCATTTTGAGAACTTGAATATGGTGGCAAAGAACATTTTGCTCAGTAGCTTACATCTACAGTAAATGTTTCATTTCAGGGAATGATTCACTCAAGGCCCTCACTCTTCAGCAGAGCTCAGTTTTATTCTTTTCTATAATTCAGACAAATATATATGTCCACATGGGGAATACATGATGGCTGGTGATACATATTCATAGATGGTAAAGTCACAAGGAAATGACTTTGCAAATTGTATAACTACTCTTACCTGTAGGCTCCTACATTCTTTACACAGAAATATAAAATTCTGTATTCCATGTAATACGTAGTTTAGATTTGGAAACGTATGTGACTCCTCACAGAAAACCAGGCAAACCTGTTCGCTTGGATCTAGAATCAAGCTTTCTCAATTTGGCACCTCACATTTAAACATCTTAAAAGTTTAAGGATTTTTAGGTCCATGCTTGTAAAAAGCACTATATTTAAGATGTGGCAGCACTGGAAAGTACTCTAGTGGCTACCTCACAGTGACGTTTGTGGATGGTCATTAAGTTAACATTGAATCATCTGCTTTGGGATACCCAGAATTGCTGCCGTTTCACCTCCTCCAGTCTTCTACAGGGGCAACCACTGACAGCAGCAATCTCTACACCTCCCTGAGAGGCTGGGGTTGGTCTCTTCTCCCAAGTCACAGGCGATAGGACAAGAGGAAATGGCCTCAAGTTGCACCAGGGGAGATTCAGATTGGATATTAGGAACAACTTTTACTTTTACACTGGAAGGGTTATTAAGCATTGGAATGGGCTGCCCAGGGAAGCAGTTGAGGCACCATCCCTGAATGTATTCAAAAGACAGTTGACAGGACGCTTAGTGACATGGTTTACTGATGGGTTGAGGTGGTTTGGTTTGTTGGGGGTTTTTTGTTTGTTTGTTTTTGGGTTTTTTTCAGAGTTAGGTTGATGCTTGGACTATATGATCTTAAAGATCTGTTCCAACCTAGACAATTCCATGATTCTATGATTCATGGGGGAACTGAAATCACTGGGATGATTCTGGTCAAGATATCACTCAGTATGATTGGCAGAGGTCCCTTTAAAGCTTTCCTCAGTGAAACAACGACTTTCCTTAAGCCTTCAGCTAACTTTTTTTTTTTTTAATTTTACTTGATATATAGGAGGAGAGAAAAAGCAGATATGCACAAAATTGAATTGAGTAATTTTTCCTTCAACTGTCATGATATTTTCACAGAACACACTTCCTTTTCCATCAAGTACCAGCACAAGTCAAAATGAACTCTGCAATTCAAATGGAATCTTACACATATGAAGATGTTTTATACATTTTGTCTCTTTATGTGTGAATCATTATTATGTAAGTTACAATGGAAGGATATGTTTATAAGATTCATGTCAGGGCAACTGAAAAATAGTTTTTAGCTCAGAGGTGGTAGGGAGCAGAGAACAGTTGTTTCACTTCTTTGTGCTGAGCCCGATGCAGTGAGTCCCTTGGACATCTCCTGACCTGTCCTGTGGCAACTGCAATATTGGTACCTCTATTGATGCTCTCGGTGTAGCACAACCTTCTTCTCTTTATATAAATGAGGAAAACACCACTAAAGCTGCTGTGGTTCATTCTGTTATAATCAATGAGTTATTTCATGCACTAACTCAAAGAAAGGTCTCAGTCAAATTGTAGAAAGGGGCTTTTCATACAGATGACTTTGAAAAACTTATGAAATTGCCCCAATGAAGGATGACTGAGCACTTTAAAGTTAAAAATAACATAAATCTCAAATACTAGCTTAATAGCAACTCTGTAATTAGTACTGTCTGATCATATCAGAAGTCAGCACCTACAAGCAGGCTCCCAAGCACTAGCAAAGAGTAATCAGATGAAGTTTTATGTGAAAGGTTTAAATTATTTAAGTTAACTCTCTAATATACAGTAATACAACTAAATGGTGACATTTGCTGTTAAAAACGGAAGTATGATGTTAACTCAAGAGGGATGCACTTTCATCAGTATGTAAAATAAATTTAAAACTCATATCTAGGACCTGCTAAGTAGGCTGACCCTGCCACAGAACTTGCTTAATTTTTAAGGATGTGAGAGATCCACTGAAATGAAGCTATTACCAACATGCCTGAAGTTAAACCCATTCTCATCAGTCTTTCTGGACAGTAGTCAGACCACTTATCCTTTGGGATCTAATTCTTAAATCCTGAGGATTGTGCTTCACTTTTAATCTTTAAACTTTGTAGCAATTCAGACTAAATGATCTAAAAGCTGCTAAATTGTTGTTATTAGTGTAATTAAAATACCTTTCTAAAGGTTACAGTAAATGGTTTTCAGTTATCTCTGAAACTATTATTTGGAAAACACAGACTGTTTCTCATTTATATAGAGTTACATTTTTATGCTGTTGTGATTGAAAACAGATGGAAATTACATTTACAGAAGTCTTTTATAGTCCCTAAATTATGTAAGAGACGTCATCAGAAATGGGAATTTGGCTTCATATTCATCATATGGTAGCATAATGCCCCCATAATTTGTAAACTTTGGAAGATACTGAATTCAACTGTTAATAATTCAATATCAATTACAGTATGTGCACAGTTAATTGCTAAGGTGTTATTATTTTATATGAATTCTGAAATAGAATTTGGTAGCCAAAATAGAAATCATCCATCAGTACAGAAAAAATAAAAGGTGCTGGGTTATTTTTGTTGTTTAAACCCACATAAAATTCCATTTTGCTTGGAATGAGATCTCTAGATTTGTCTTTTAAATAACAACACAAAGACTCTGAAATTATTTTCTCACTTAACTTGAGACTGTTTTTCTATACTGTAAATATGGAAATTATGCTTAATAGTTGGCTATTAAGAATGGGAAGTAAAGCTGAAAAGCTGGATGTTACCTTTGTGTTTACAGTTTCTAAAAGTGCATGCACTGAGATGAAAAATTGCAAATGATTTCTTTAAAACATAGCCAAATGCTGACCCATTCAATGGCATCAGCCATTCCTAAATGGAACCAGAAGATCTTGGAGTACAGAGAAGATGATGGGACCAATAAGCTGTTTCACGAGGTGTTATATAATTTTTGTACATAACAGATGGGTTTCATTATCCAAGGAAACTAATAAAATTACTTTTCATTCTACTGTAGACCCAATTTTGTTTTATAACTCATACATAAAATGTGAAATAGGATCTTTAAATGGAAGGTAACAAGTACCTGACTTTTTGAGTCTGAAAATCATGTCTCCTATGGTATAGAAATATGTTCATTGGCAAGTCTTCATTTTCTGTCCTAAAAATGATTATATAGTCTCATTTTGTATAGTCAAACAGCTGCCATGCTCATTGCCAATTATAAATATATACTTGGCTCCAGAGGCAAATCGTATCTCCAAAATTAAATCCAAGCATGGATCTGATCACTCCTCTTTAGCTACTTCTTGTGAATATTTTTTCTTGTCTGAGGTTAAAACATTGAGACCTCAGTTGCCCAGGGGCTGCAGATTTCAAAGCAGGGAATTGCACTGACCTCAAAGAAACATTCTCTTCAGAGACGTACACTATCAAATATACATGGGAGCAATTTTCAAGGGAATTTTAAGAGAGTTACTGTGTCTGCTACCATTGATGCTTTTTGGCAGGTTTCCTGCAGTATGTAGAATGCTTCAGTCTCTCTTGGTCTTGTGTCATGGTTTCCCCCTAAGCAACTGTGCGTCACCCCTGTTCTCACTGCAGCACCTTTGCCCTTTGCCTGGGCTGAGACACTTTGTGTGACTTATTAGTTGGGGCGGGACGCAGATGAGGACCACAGTAATGTTTAAAACTGCTCAAACCTGCAAACAGCCGAGCTTTGTGATTCAAGAAAAGTCCTTTTCTTCTTTGAATGAATTCAGCTGAATATCAAAGGTATGGCAGAGGGTATGTTCTGATAAGGCTGGGAAAGCCTTTCAAAAGGTTGGAGGACTCATCTGCAAAAGGAAGTGTTAGGCAATCTAGACAGAGAGGTTGCTATCTGCTTGCCCTCTAACTGAAAGCTTTTCAAATACTACTGACCAGCAAGATTTCATACAACAATAAAACTGTTTTGATTCCTCTCAAGGCTTTCCTGTAGCATTCCACCTTCCCTTCTGCACCATTTCACAATCAAGTTGTCTCTTACCTCTGATTCTTTGTAATAGCGCTCAGGAATCTCATCACTGGCAATATCGATAAAGCAGACTTCTCGCTCCAGATCTTTCGCTTCTTTGTCAAATATCTGCAAGAGTGACAGAAAATCAACACTGTAACAGAGCAATACCCGTATAAAATCCCCCTGGAATAATGGTTACAAGCCATTTTCAATGATAATATCATTTTACGATTGCGCCCAAACAGCTTCTGATGTGAGACTGACGTTTCTGCAGGGACACAGTCCCATTCTCTAACTTACTGTGGACACCAGAGGGAAGGAAATGAGTGTCCTCAGGATCATGTATAAGTAGGTGTTCCTAAGCAAGATTAACATCAGTTTAAATGAATTACGCCACAGACTCTTTTGGGAACAATCCATATGGCAAAGGAAGAGACAGCGGCCTGTTAAATGTAACACACCCTGTTCAGCACTTACTGCTCACACCACTCTTCTTCCTAGCATTTTTTGGAATGGAGACTTTGGTCACAAACAGTAAAGTCAACAAGTAGAACTGGTTTTTATTGAATTCTCTAATCTTTGAACTAGATTCCACCACACTGTAAAAAAAGCTGGACTCTGGATGTTTCTAATCCTCTCCCTCTAGGGACAACAATGACATGCAGGTGTGTCACGGGAGCTGGTCAGGTGGAGCTGCTCTTATACCAAGAACCAAAATTTTGGTTGAACTGCCCTCAGTGGGGGCTGGAAACTTCCACTAACCATTTGTGCACACCTAAAGCTTATTTTCATTTTAATCCTTTAGGACCTGGTTTTGAACACTAAGTCTCTTGTTCTATGCAAGGGAAATGACGGGTGTATTTTAAAAATACGGGTAATTTGCATCTGCAGCGAGTAGACTTCTGTGCCTGTGCCCATAATTTAATTATTTAGGCATCTTACTGACCCATGTGACTCCTGCTTTGTCTGCAATAAATTTCTACTCATGATTCTGGGGCTTGGAAACAGGGACTAGCTAAAAGGCTATCATGAATCAGTGCCACAGAATGCAGGGAAGCTGTGCATACACTGTCAAGAGCAGCAATGAGCCAACGATGTCTTTTTTCCTTTGGGGCACAATGTTCTATAGCTGAGGTTTCCAGGAAGCATAATTTTTATTTTTTTTTTTTAATAAATGTAGTGAACTCTCTGTTAATTTCATTTCATTTTATCCTAGAGGAACAGTTAAAAATGTGAAATGCCAGCAATTATTCAGTAACAAGAATGCTACTTTATTATTTTTGAAAGAAATGCGGCTGCCTGTGTAAAGCATTCAAAGAAAGCAATGGACTACAAAGAACAAACTGGTAAGTACTCTGCTCGAGAAATCATAATTCAAATAAATGAAAAGCTGAAGTTTGCCTCTACAATTGTAACTAGTCTTGGTAGTTAACAGGATTGGAATACAATGAGCAACACTGGATGCTGACTGAACTGGATCCTAAACATTAACCGGGCTGAAGCCGCAGAACAGAACAAAGGGAACCTCCAGGCTGGTTTTATTTCTGTGCTTCTTTTCCTTCTACAATCCTTGCTTTACAAAAAATTATGTTGATTAGTTGAACAAATTCGAGCTGAGAGGTCCTTCCCCTGTAGTACTCTTTCTTTGAAATGAGGTACATTTTAAAAAAATAATTGTTATGTTTTATATATATGTACTATAGGTCACTTTTTATAAGCTTCCTCACTTGCTTTTTTTCCCAAACAAATTCAGATACACAGAGCAGTCCCTTGATGAAATCAGTTGAACTATTTCTGGAACAAGATGCATTTCACCATAATCTCTGAGCTTTAAATAAAATAATGGAGATTTCTCTTAAAGGGACATTACCAGGTAAACTGGGGCTCTGAATCAGTACACAGTTTAAGTACAAGCCTAATAAATTCAAGCCCGTGTATATCTCTGCACGTTTGCAAGGACCTAAATGGGGACTATTACCCAGTATCTTATCTGAAGATATGTGCCCTGTGCTGTCACAGGCTGGATCCACATATTGCACCTCTAAGCAATACAGTTGTAAATTCTTTTTCTCTCCTTAAAGTGCTTTGACAGAAGCAGGGATGACAAATGCCTTTGCCAATCTGTCAAGCCAGGAGGAAATTTCAACCATTTCAACTTTGTGATTTTTGCTGCTGAGGCTCTCTCTGACCATTTCCCCCATTCCAGAAGTTTGTGAAATGACATTCTCTCTTCCCTTTGCTGGCCGAAGCTCTTGTCTAATCATTTATGCTTTTCCCCCTCTCAGATTTTCCTCAGAAAGATTTGCAGATAGAGATTTAATCTTCTCATTCTATCAGCAGGAGAAATTGAGAAGTCATTAGAGAACAAGATTGATTTCTTGCTTAGCTCTAATTCTCTTATTGCCTCCCCTCACCACATAATCTGGGATTGCCTTAAAACCTGTAGGGAGGATGGGTTTATTGCTTTTGTGATCAAAGAGGCCAGAGAAATTTAAAAGTTTTAAAGGAAGAGATTAAAGGCCACGGAAAGAAGCATAAGGCTCCCAATCTGTGCAACTGTATTTGCAAATGTGCAGAAAATGAATGGTGAGAACAATCTGTATCCTTAAGAAGATGATGTTGAAGGCAGGGTATTAAATATTATATTGGAAAGAACTGGACAGGCTTTACATTTGGAAGCCAAGTAATTAATAGAGATTGAAATACACAAATGAAAAACAGTAACATTCAGTCTGAAGTGTCCTGTTTGCTGTGGGTTTTGGGTTTTGTTTTGGTGGCAGGTTGTGATAGTTTTTTTGCAGCATTTATAGACTGCCACTTTCTAAGAGTAAAGAAAACTCATCATTATTTAGAAAAAAAGTGGAAGAAAGGTTTTAATTGTGTCATCTTTTCAACTGTCAATAGTTTCTTTTGGTGAAAATTTTCCAAAAAAAACTCTGACTCTAGTACCTCAGGAAAGAAAGATTACACAGGATCTGCAGAAATATAAGTGCTGGTGTATTTAAATTTCTTTCTTTCATTTTCCTCATTCCCTACAATGGCATATCCTACCACATCCTTTGCTGGTGACTTCTCTTTTCCTTGTAGACAGAGCCAGAACAGAAAGTCAGGTTATGAGACAATGGTAAATCAACAACTAATTTAATACCTTTTTTTCTACAAGCTGCTTCCCCATTTTTCTTCTTTCTATTCTCTCTTAAGGCTATGTTGCTGGCTTCAACTTCATTCACACATAGCGAAATCAAAGTGTATCTTTTATGGCAAGTCACTGCAGCTAACCTGGTCTGGATGTCCGCGGTACCCAGCCAGACTCCACTGAATGCACTGATTGCACCCACCCTGGCAAAAGCCCCCTCCGTCTCCACTGCGGGGACTCCTCTGGTCAGACCTCTGCTTGGTTGGTTTGGTTTTGTTTCTAATATACAAGTCTCTCTTGTGATGTTTTTTTTTTCTTTCTTTGAGAGCAAAGAACATATTCAAGGGATCACCAGCTGGAAAGCTGTTCGTCTTTACTGCAAAATGGATTTTTAAACCAGTGTCGATACAAGAAGCTTGTGGTCTGCAGCTGCAGTAAGGCAGCTAATTACAGCTAATACTAATGCAGACAGGACACAGCATTTCCTGTGGAAACAGCCAAATAACTGGTCAAGTTAAAAATAAAGACAAGTGGTTAGAGATGAAAGTGATAAGGCAACCTATATAGAAAATTCAATACTATAAACAAACACGTTTGAAGATGGGTGGATGGGTGTGTTTTTTTCTGGACGCTATATTTTCCATCCCTTGTGAGGCTCTGGGTGAGAGAAGATTGGTTTTTCTTACTTGTTATGCTACATGCAGATTATCAGCCTGTGCTGAGAAATGCAGCTAAGGCAGAGAAATGAAATGGGTAAGAGCCACAAGACTTTCTTTCCAAAACAGCAGAGCACTCCTAGATTAATTACAGTCAGGTTAAAATGGTAGCAAACATAATTATTATCCCCTGTGCTAAGTAACTAGACGCCTGTGCCTAAATACAGACTGCAGCCAAAATGACCACATTGTTCAACACACCATGTGGAAATGTCATTTATTGAGATGAGAATTTCTGCTATAAATCAAATTTCCTCTTCTATTAAAATCCTTCTTTGAGTTAATGTCTATGCCTGAAAATGTTGTTCTTCCCTCTCTGCCTCCCCATTTTCCCCGCCCTGTCACCAAAACATCCCAACAAACTTAATATCTTGACTTCGCAGTAGCCGGACATCTCAAGATGACCCCTTAGTGTGATAGGCAGGCTATGGCAAGAACAGCAGGACAAAAATAACTTTAAACACTAGAATTTGAAATTAAATTTATCTCTGCCTTTCTCACTATTATATTGCTTCATTCACTGTCACTGAGCTTCAAGAAAATGGAAAAAATACAGTATGCAGCTGGAAGAGTCCCCAAGCTTAGATGCATAATTGCAACATATAAGCTCCTTTTTTAATTCAAATACTGATATTTCACTGACGCTTTGGGGTTTTCTCTGTATTTTCTCCCATTTCTGAAATGTAGTCTAGCTTTGCAACTTGCCAGTATTGAGCAATTTGTATGATGATGAGCGCTTTCAGTGAGTAGAATACATATACATCCATCAGCTGCAGGATGGTTTAAATCTAGATTTCGCAGTGTGTGAAAGCCAGAGGTATAACTGCAGTAAGGACTGCAAGAATAGGCTTTTACTTTTTTGTTGGTTGTTTGGGTTTTTTGTTTGTTTGTTTGTTTTCATCCATGGCGAATGGAGTGTGTAACTTTTCTACAAGTCACGTTCCAACCTCAGATACCCCCAAGTTTGCTAATTTACTTTTGAGATTTACCTGGGCAGAGATTACAGGGATTGACCAATTTCAACCTGTTCACTGGCTAAAACTATATATGTGGACACAGATAATTGGGAGCAATTCTCCTGTGGAAAAAGGTTGAATCTCTCCCTGAGAGCAGTAAATTTGGCTCCCCGAACGCCATGGGAATATCAGTCTGTCCCAGAGGGGAAGGCACAAAGGCAGTTCCATATTCATCTGCAGCCTTGCTCCCTCCTCCTTTTTATCTCCATGTCATGACTCCTCTGTTATTCCATCTCTTATAAAATAGATTTGTACTTT